GGCCTTTACTGGCCCCAAGAGGCTCCAGGATCAAGCGGGCACAGCTGAGGGGCCTCCATAATGGCTGAGCACCCTATGTCCCACATTCACATACATGTGATTGTAGTCCTGGAGAGAGATGAGGTCTTGAAGAAAAGATCCATGATTGGCTCTCTCATGGGCCCTCTCTGATTATTTACTGTTAGCAGGTGGGAAATGGGATCCCTGGGAGACTTTCCTAGAAGGAGCCTATATAGGTTAGTTGTGGTGGGAGAAGGGGCCTGAGCATCTCTGCAGAGAGCAGTTGTCATCCTCACCTTGGCCCTTTCCCAAGCACTATAAATGAGGGGTCAGGCAAGACCCCAGATACGGGGCTGTTGGATACCTGGTCTTTCAGAGCCAGGCCCCACCTGTGGCTATCTGTTGACCAAACAGAGAAGTTCTGGTGGTTTTCCCTATTATCCTCCCACTGGAGCGGTCACTTCCAGTCAGAGGACTGGATTCCTAGCACCTCTGGTGTCAAAAGGCTGTCTTGGGGTTGTGCCAAGTAATTACCAAACCTTGAGCCTGTGGGCTTTAAGTGGGAGTGGTAGCCCATGAGCCTTATCTCAGCCAAGTAACCTTTCTTGACAATAGGAGCGGCTTCCCTGTCCCATCCCTCTCTTCACTTCCTTCCTTTCCCCTGTTCTTCATCCCACTGCTTTCCCATTCTTTCTGGGTGGTGGGGGAGACCAGCTCCCTGCTCAAGGACACTCTCTGTCGGGCTAGGACGTGCCTCTAGCACATTCCGGCCTGTAAGCACTCCAGGTGGGGAAGTGGACAGGAGCCATTGGCCATAACCAGACAGAATTTGGAGAAGTTTTCCTAAAACTCCACTGAAAGTTTTATAAGAAATATATGTAGCATGATTTTTTTAGAGGAGACTAAAGATTATTTCAGTAGGATTTAAATCATGCGACAACTAGAGTATCACAACCAGAGTGACCCCTGGGGCCTCTTCCTAGGACATGGTTACTTTCTTTTTCCCTTGGTAAAACGTAGGAAGACTTACGTTTTGAATGGTCAGTGTCCAGTTGAAGGCAGAACACTAATCAATTTCAAGGCCCAAAACTTGGGGACTAGACCACCTCGTGTTGAGGGACCTCTGCCAGCTACATGCAGTCGATGGATGAAGTAAATTAAATGACACTACTGCCCTGATTACTCCTTAGGATGTGGTCAAAACAGCATCAAATGTTCCTTCTCCTCCTTCCCCCAAGACAGTGTTAAATTAAGTCATTTAACCTGTTAAATTAAGTCATTGGATTTTACTCTGTTCTGTTTACAGTTTACTATTTAAGGTTTTATAAATGTAAATATATTTTGTATATTTTTCTATGAGAAGCACTTCATAGGGAGAAGCACTTATGACAAGGCTATTTTTTAAACTGCGGTATTATCCTAATTTAAGAGAAGATCGGTTTTTAATAATTTTTTATTTTCATAGGATGAAGTTAGAGAAAATATTCAGCTGTACACACAAAGTCTGGTTTTTCCTGCCCAACTTCCCCCTGGAAGGCGTGCTTTCTGTTGTTCACGTGTAGCTTGTTTGTGCCCTGTTGAGGTCAGTGTTCCCCGGCTCTGCTCTTTGGCAGTAATGGAGAAGGAAGGTCACCCGGCTCTGTTAGGCCACTCCCCTTCTTCCCCATCGCAGCTCCTCGGAAGGCTGCAGAAGTCCTCGGCACATCTGTTTCTTCTCTGCTTCCTTTCCCACACTGTCCCTCTCCATCTGAGAGAGAGAGAGCGAGAGCGAGCGAGCACTCTTACATTGCCTTCATCTTCCCTACTTCCGAGTCAGCAGCCAACAAATTGAACAGCAGTTTGACCTTTTCCATCACCATCTGCCTCAGAGGTCACCTTTTCCTCTGCCCCTCAGCTCCTCAGAGAACCCGCTGATCCCCCGTGCCCTCTTTCGGCGCAGCCCGTTGAAACTGAAGCACAGTCTGACCACTCACGATAAAGCAGATTTTCCTCTGCTCCTGCCACAAGGTTTTAGAGTAGTGTAGTCCGTGTAGAGGGCGGGGCATCCTTTTCTCACCACGAGAAGCCCATTCCTCTGGAAGTCTAGCAAAGCAATACGACTCAGCCCAGCACTCTGCCCCAGGACTCACGGCTCTGCTGTGCCTTCCATCCTGGGCTCCCTTATCTCCCGTGACCTTAAGAACTTTGTCTGGTGGCTTTGCTGGAACATTGTCACTGTCTCCACTGTCATGCAAGGGAGCCCAGCACTGTGGCCAGGATGGCAGAGACTTCCTTGTCATCACGGAGAAGTGCCAGCAGGGGACTGGGGAAAAGCACTCTACCCAGACCTCACCCCCTCCTCCTCTTGCCCACGAACAAGATGCAGTGGCCCGAGGGTTCCACTAGTGTCTGGTTTCCTTTATTATTGCACTGTGTGAGGTTTTTTTGTAAATCCTTGTAATCCTATTTTTTTTAAAGAAAAAAAAAACTTAAGCTGCATTTGTTACTGAAATGATTAATGCACTGATGGGTCCTGAGTTCACCTTGAGAAAGACCCAAAGGCCAGTCAGAGGGTGGGGGAAATTCAGCTGAACAGACCTAGTTCCTGCCCTGCTAGGCCGCGCTGTACTGTGAGCCCCCTCCTCATTCTCTTTCTCTAAGCCCACACCCTGAGGACAGGGGAGGAGCCCACACCTTTCCTTCTCCTGCCAGCTGCAGATGGTTTGCCTTGCCTTCCCTCCCCTCACTGTCAGCCACAGAATGAGAAACCCCTCTTACAGCTCAGCCTTGAGTCCATTGCCAAAATGTCAGCGTACCTGCCAGCAACTTGGGGAATAAGCTAAGGTTTCCCTGCGAGAGGGAGAGAAGGCAAAAATGGCGTGGCTGTCTCCAAACATGTCTGAGTTTGATTTGAAAGTGACCAAGAGACTTTCCGCACAGAAGTGCAGATTGAGGAAGTGTGGTGGGTCATTCCCAAGCATCCCCCAAGGGGCATCCCAAATCCCTAAGGAGTGACAGCTGCAAACCTGGTCAGCCGTCGGTGAGAGCCATCTCACTTACCGCTTTGCTGCTAGAACCTGTTGTGGCTGCATTTCCTGGTGGCCAGTGACAACTGTGTAACCAGAATAGCTGCATGGCGCTGACCCTTTGGCCGGAACTGGTCCCTTGGCTCCTCCATTGCTGCCCACCACGTCCAGCACAACCCTTCTTCTACTTCTAGACCAATAGCAAGAATTAAGGGAGAAGCCTTGGCAGCTATAAGTTCTCAGCCAGACGCCTTTGCCAGGACCCAGCCTGCTGCCCTGCTTACCTCTGTCCACCCCTCGGCCAATGCAGTGAGCGTCATGCAGCAACCTTGAATTCAAAAAAACAAAAAAATCCACAAAAACAAAAAAAATCTTTCAATGAATGTATCTTTCTAAAGGACTGACTTGTTCAATCAAATATCAAAATACTAAAGGTCAAAACCTTATCATTTGTTAACTTAGGAATTTGATTTGGGGTTCTTCATAGAAATTAAGTTGTTTTTGTTTTTAAGGAAAAGCGGGTCATTGCAAAGGGCTGGGTGTAATTCTGTTTCATTTCCTTCTTCATTTTAAAGCAATACAAGGTTATTGAGCAGATGGTTTTGTGCCGAATCATGAATACCAGTCAAGTCTCACACTCTGAAAATTTGAAACTTTTTTGTTTGCTTTGGTTTTCAAATAAATATAAATATGATATATATAGGAACTAATATAGTAATGCACCATGTAACAAAGCCTAGTTCAGTCCATGGCTTTTAATTCTCTTAACACTATAGATAAGGATTGTGTTTCAGTTGCTAGAATTGGCAGGAAAATGTCAAGCTAGTGTTCCTCTGATTCCCTGACGGGGAAGCCCAAACTACAAAGGAATGGCAAAGCAGGCCTCTCCTAGGATCAGAGCGAAGTGCAGAAATGGAGACACCTGGATTTTTTCCTGCCATGAATGTTGCCAGTCAGTACCTGTACTCCTTGTTTCTCTATTTTTGGTTATGAATGTTGGGGTTACCACCTGCATTTAGGGGAAACTTGTGTTCTGTGCTTTCCTGGTATCTTGTTCCGAGGTACTCTAGTTCTGTCTTTCAACCAAGAAAATAGACTTGTGGTGTTTCTTTTATTGAACTTATAACAGTCTCTCTAGTAAATACAGGTAGTTGAATAATTGTTTCAAGAGCTCAACAGATGACAAGCTTCTTTTCTAGAAATAAGACATTTCTTGACAACTTTATCATGTATAACGGATCTTTTATTTTTGTGGGGTTTTTTCCTTGTGTTCTTCCAAGCTTCTGGTTAGAGAAAAAGAGAAAAAAAAAAAAAAAAAAGGAAAATGTGTCTAAAGTCCATCAGTGTTAACTCCCTGTGACAGGGATGAAGGAAAATACTTTAATAGTTCAAAAAATAATAATGCTGAAAGCTCTCTACGAAAGACTGAATGTAAAAGTAAAAAGTGTACATAGTTGTAAAAAAAAAAGGAGTTTTTAAACATGTTTATTTTCTATGCACTTTTTTTTATTTAAGTGATAGTTTAATTAATAAACATGTCAAGTTTATTGCTGCACATGGTGGAGCTTCCTTTTTGGCCTTGGCAGGGATGGAGAACTTGGGGAAGCTGCAGCCCTGACCTGGTTACAAAGTTCCCTCCACGGTGCTTGTGTGAGGGCGAGGACCAGGACAGAATTGCTAGACCATTCTGCACCGCCAGGGACAGGCCCCGCCCACACTGGCACCCTCAGGACCTAATGGATTCGGGATCTGAGGATAGGGTCAAGAGGACCCTGAACCCCTCTTGTCCAGTCAAGGTGGAGCAGAGGCCCTTGATTTTCTCCTGAATGGCAGAATAAATTGAAAGCATTTCAGCACCTGCTCTTCTCCATTCCACCTTAAGGCTGAAACTCGGCTGTGTATTCTGTGATGAGGGCCAGGTTTCAGTTGACAAATCATTGTAAATAATCTGCCAGACCGGGGCCATGAACCTCAGGCCACCCGGTTGAGCTCACCCTAAAGCCAAGGCTGCTCCGCGGGGGTGGTCCCCTGCACAGAACCTCCTCCTCTTACAACCACTGCCTGCAGAGGCTCCACCCCGGCCCGTCCTCCACCCTCTTCCCCTGAGGCACCTTTGGGGACTTGGAGTTGGATATACCATGGGAACCCCAAACGATCAGGCCGTATTGCAGGCTATCTTCAACCCCAACACCCCATTTGGAGACATCGTTGGGGTGGACCTGGGAGAGGAAACAGAGCAAGACGAAGATGAAGGTGAGCATTTGACCTTGGAGTGTAGCTCTTCACACATGTTGACTGCTCCCCCCACCCCTCGCCATTTTTCTTTTTTGAGACAGGGTCTCGCTATGCAGTTCAGGCTGGCCTTGACCTCACTTTATAACCCAAGCTGGCCTCAAACTTGCAGCAATCCTGTTTCAGCCTCCCAAGTGCTGGGATTACAGGCGTGCACCACCACACCCAGCTGTGACTGTTGGGCCCTGAAGGCAGCATAAGAGGTGATGTGACAGGACCCTGGTTCCACCAATCTTGCATGGATGATGGCGATGGGAAGCAGGAGTTGGATGATCTTCAGGGTGGGGAGAGGGACTTAGCAAGAGACATTCCATCCAGAAGAGTGAGCCAGGGGTAATCTCTCAGTCCCTCTGCCCTTACTCCTCTGAATTTACACTTCATTCCCTCCATGATCCAAGCTTAATTGCTTTTGGTGGGTGATGTTAAACTCTCAAGTCTTGTCCTAACAGACAGTGTCACACTCACAGAATGGAAGGCAGACGCAGTTGAGTAGTTCCAATACAGCAAGCAGAGTTAGCACTTGTTAAACAGTATCATAAGCCAAGTCTTCCGCAGAATGAGTACGTTTCCCACTGGCCCTAGTGGAGAAGTGCTTCTGTCCTTTTTTAGACAGTGAAACCTAGCTTTGCTTACTGAAGCTTCAGGCTAAGAAGCCGAGTTACACATCGGAGTGATTTTTGCATCCGGGGACGTCAGGGCCTTTGGGAGGGAGGCAGAGTGGCAGAGCAAGAGAACGGGCTAAAAAACCAGAAAGCTCAGTGTTCCCCTGCCAGCCTGCTACTGTGTGGAGCTAAGCAATCTACTGAGTTGGGGGTTCATACTCATGGCCCTGGGGAGCCGTCTAGGGTCCCTTTCCTGTCCCTGTGGCTCCAGTTGTAGTCTCCGGGCTTGGTGATCTCAAGTCCTACCCCGAGCTCGGGACCTTTACGCCTAACGGGAGCCACACCCATCAAGTCTGGATCAGGGCTCAGGATTCCAAAGCCTGAGGTGGCTTTTTCTTCTTGCCCTCAACTACACGCGTGTCCCCACCTGGCTTCTTCCCTGGCACAGATGCAGTTTTCCCTCAAGCACAGCTGGAACAGTCCAAGGCGCTGGAGCTGCAGGGGGTGATGGCGGCAGAGGCCGGGGACCTCAGCACAGCCCTGGAGAGGTTTGGCCAAGCCATCGGCCTGCTTCCGGAGAGAGCGTCAGCCTACAACAACAGGGCCCAGGCCCGGCGGCTCCAGGGGGATGTGGCAGGTGAGGGAAACGCCCGGGAGCCTCCACAGAGGGCACAGAGCAGAGGGAGCTGTGGGGCAAGGAACCGCTAAACCCATGTTTGGGCCTGAAAAGCCTGAGGTATGGTACAGACCCTGCTGGTCTCACGGGGCTGTGGTGAAAGTCAGAAGAGACTGCATTCTACTCATTTACTGAAGGGACAGTTCATGAGAGCCTACCCTGTGGCAGTAAGCTGAGTACCAAGGACATGAAGGTAAAAGATGCAGTATTTGCAGCTAACGTTTATCCAGTACTTACTACATGCCAATATGCTATAGTAACTCAATCTTGCAGCAACCCTTGAAAAGCTATGTACTCTTGTTATTCCCCCTTTTTTGTCTTGTTTCCTTTTGTTTTTTGAGACAGGGTCTCACTATGTAGTTCAGGCTGGCCTTGAACTCACTTTGTAGCCCAGCCTGGCCTTGGACTCTAGACAGTCCTCCTGCCTCAGCCTCCTGAGTGCTGGGATTACAGGTGTGCGCCACCATGCCCAGCTATTCTCATTTTAAAGATGAAAAAACTAAAGAAAGGACAGGTTAAGTGACTGGCTCACTATCCTCCAGGAGGGAAATGTCAGAGCGGGGATTGAACAAGATGGTAGGGGTCTTAAACCCCATTTGATACTGCTCCTTATGAGCTCAGAATCCAAGGGACAGAGCAGTGACATTATTAGGTTATCAACACAGTAAATTTAGGAGGGGGCCGCCTGGGATCCGTTCCTTAGAGCCAGCTTCAAAGGATGAGTAGGAGTTAGCTGGGCGAGTGAGCGGTGGAGAAAGGAGAGTACAGGTGCCCAGAAGCCATGCGCAGGTCCGGAGAACGTCAGCTCTCCAGGCTGCTCGGAGCAGGCAGCGCAACGGCTGAGCCTGCCGGGGCGGGCAGGGACCAGATGCCTGGAATTTGCGTCGGGGGTGAACAGGGGCAAAGGTTTTAAGGGAGGGTGGCTGGTTTAAACCTGCTGCCTTTAGCTTACTCTGGCTGCAGTGGGCACAATGAGACAGAGGAGGCCGTGCTGGGGACCAAGGCCAGACTGCTATGGCGGCGTACACAGGGACATAGTGACCGTTAGCACTATGCGGGTATTCCCAGGGACGGGAATGTTAGCCTGGAGAGTCTGGGCTTCCTCTCCGTCTCCCCAGAACAAGTCCCCTCTGGGCTTGTCTGCCCTGGGCTGCTGAAGACAGCCTACAAGCCAAATCAGAGAGCCCACAGCGGTGACTCCACCTGGAGAGCTTTCCCCTCCCTTGACCTGCCCCACTGAGGGAAACAGAGGCACGCTGTAATCTTGAGGGCATCTCTGTAGTCTGGGTGGGGTGGGGAACCAGGTCACAGACCCAGGAAAGAGAGGCTCTGCTTGCTCCTAGATGGTGCGAGAGTGCCCCAGGGGCGCTGTCAGGTCCTTTAGGAGACTAGAGAATATGGACCGTGTCCGTTCTGCCACAAAGAAAGCAACTGGTCAGTCTTCTAGAAGACTCTAGCTGGCTGCTTGGGTTTCTGAGTTCAGAGGTTGGAGGTGCAATCCAAGTTATGTTATGAAGATAATAAAAATTAAAACATTTCAAGCCAGCATTACTTCCATAGCTTCCTTTCAAGGAAATTAGAAGGCTGGGGATATAGCTCAGTGGCACAGGCACCTGCCTGGCAAGCACAAGGTCCTGAGCTCGATTCCAGGTACCAAAAAAAAAAAAAAAATTACCAAGGAAATTAGATACAAAATAATGAAGAGCACTGAGATAACCAAAGAACGAGCAAGGCCACCCGTCCAGGAAATTAGGGGATAGAACAGCTGTGCTAACAGCAATGGAAAGGAGGCAAAAGGACATCAAAAAGCAGAGTGGGGCCGGGGATGTAGCTCAGCGGCACAGCGCCTGCCTGGTAAGCACAAGACCCTGAGTTCAACTCCTGGTACAAAAAAAGAAAATAGGCAAAAAAATTAAAAAAGAGTGAGAAATTGATTCAGTTGTGTTTATAAGAAATGGTCATGCAGGCAATGATTGTTTTTGAACCCTGGGATTCAGAGTTGGTCTCCTGCCAGAGAGTAGATGCTTAGTAACTTCTCTGTGGAATGAATTTTCTGCTACTTGCATAGGCACTGGGCCAGATTCATGTATATACTGACCAAAGTCCTCCCATTCATGTTTTGGTCTATTAATGGTAGGCAAAAAATAAGAACAAAGCGAGAAACCTTGGACTTCCGCCCAGCTCAGCCACTCAGTGGCTGTGTAGCCCAGGCGTTTTTCCAATCCCTCCAGCCTTCATCTGGGTAATGGGAATAACAGCCCCTTCTGCCCTGTGAAACAACATTACAAAGGCTGATAAAGCAGGTGGTAAAAGAACTTACCAAGACAGCAGGGCATGGTAGCTCATGACAGTAATCCCAGCACTCAGGAGGCTGAGGCAGGAGGATTGCTGCGAGTTTAAGGTCAGCCTAGGCTACACAGTGAGGTCAGTCCCAGCTTGGACTACATAGTGAGACACTGTCTCAAAAAAGAAAAGAATTTACCAAGACAAGGGCAGAATCAGAGAAGATTTAACAGACAGGTTATATAGCAAAAAGCAAGATACAGACACATTGTGGGTGCTTAAAAGCAGGGGTAGTGTTCTGAAAGGGAAAATGTTGGGCCTGGAAGGAGGAAGTGGCCTGCTTTATGTAAACACAATTTCAAAAGCGGATGGGATAAGCCCCACAAGGTTGAGATCACTGTATGATCTTCCTTAAGCCTATTCTTCATGCAAAGTGTTGGTAGGGATGAGTCCTGGTGACTCATGGTTTGTTTTATGATGGCTGTTTGACCCAAGTGACTGTACTGCAACCTATACACTGATAATTTTGTTGTCAACGGCTCCAAGCTCGAACTCGCCACTACTGGAACAGCAGTTAGAAAAAAATTCGCTCGGAGTTTGTAACTTTGCTCAAGAGTCAAACCAAAGGAGTTGGGGATTTAGCTCAGCAGCACAGCGCCTGCTTGGCAAGTGCAAGGTCGTGAGTTCGATTCCCCGTACCGGAAAAAAAAAAATCAAAAATTAAAAAAAAAAAAAAGAGTCAAACCAAAAATCCGACCTGAGAAAACCTGTATGGGCCAAGAGTGAGTTGCTGAGCGTCCAAAAGTGTGACACTTTGGTCTAAGTGCAACTCTCACCCAGACAGCATCTAATGCTTGTGTTAGTGAGTTAAACACGCGTCACTGTGCTTTTTGTACATGTGTGCTTTATTTGTGTAAAATATTGTAACCAAGGCTCCAAGAAAGTTAGTGATACCAGCAGTAAAGCTAAGAGGAAAACTGTGAGAGCCATAGTAGAGTTAAAGAAAGAAATCAGTGCAAACTTTGTTAAAAGTCCTGGGAAAATGAATTTGTAAGTATAGTTTTTGGGCCTCAGAAACAGTTGTTTAATTTTCCATTATTTCTTTTCTTTTTTATCTTCTTGAGACAGGGTCTCAACTATGCAGTTCAGGCTGACCTTAAGCTTACTTTTGTAGCCCAGGCTGTCCTCGAACTCACAGGCTGTCCTCCTGCCTCAGCCTCCCAAGTGCTGGGATTACGGGCATACACCACCAAACCCGGTGGTTTTCCATTTTTTTTTTTTTTGGTTTTTCTCCGGTACCGGGAACCGAACTCACGACCTTGCGCTTGCCAGGCAGGCACTTTGCCGCTGAGCTAAATCCCCAGCCCCTTGAGCTAAATCCCCAGCCCCTAGTTTTCCATTATTTCTAATGGGAAAAATATGTTCAGATCTCAACATTTTCAGTGTTCAAGCACAAATTTAGTTCAACAACTGAGGAATCATTGTACTGGGTTTCATGTTTCCCACCTGACAGATAAACAAAGTCAAGTCTGACATTTAGATGGAGATCTCCCTTTCAGTAGCTACTTCAGGCTGCACATGGGCAGAGGAGGGCCACCCCAGGGGGTCTGTGGAGCCATCAGAGGCCACTGGGGCTAGGTAGGTGGTAAAAGTTTGGAGCAACCTGTCCAAAGGGTATTGAGTGGGAAAGATTGGAGTCCATGTTGGGTCATCATCGGTAATTTAATGGACTATAACCTTATGGAGACAGAAAGTTCAAGCATGTTAGATACAAGTGGACCTCCTAAAAGAAGGCTGATCAGAGATATGAGTGGTCCCCCAAAAGGGAGTAGCCAATACTCACCAGCAACTGGTATTCCAGTCTATCTACCCTTGGTGGCTTGGTTGTGTAGATGTTTTTTGGCTTCCAGGAAAGTCTGGATATATTGTACTCTCCTGTCCTGTCCTGTCCTGTTTCCCCAAGAGCAACATTGTTTTTCATAGCACATGTACCCTCCACCCCCTGCAGTGAGTATGTCTAGGGTTTGGTGATTTTGTAGGACAATTGCAGCCAGGGAATTTATTCAGTTCTATGTAGTGAACAGTCCTGCTGACATTTGATTAATTTGGGGCTTTGACTAACAAGGGGCTGGGGATTTAGCTCAGCTGCACAGCGCCTGGCTGGCAAGCGCAAGGTCGTGAGTTTGATTCCTGGTACCAGAAGAAAACAAAAAACAAAACAAACAAACAAACCAACAAAAAAAAAACCTTGACTAACAAACCATTGTGGGAGGTTATAAAAGATCTGATAAGAGGAGTGTGCTGTATCTCCCTGTGACCACCCCTGTGACTCCAATTAGGGAGGAAATGCCCAGTAGGGTTGGGATAAGATACATGGGCTTCCTCTCTTGGAACAATGTGGGCCTATGGTTACTCGTAACGGTATACGGGAAGTACCACTGAGTTGTGGCAACCTGGGAAATATATGGGCCAGAGTTCAGACACCACTCCAGTTCATGGGAAGGCCTTTGGAGGCACAGACTTATAGGACCCTGGCATATAGTAGCAGGTATCCGTTTACATGATGGAAGACCCAGGAAATTGCCCTGATCTACCCCAGTATTTCTAGTCAAAAGTGATACCATGTCCTGCCAGAGATACAGGATTATAACAAAGTTATAATGAAGTTATGAGAAGTGTCCCAGTGAGATTCCCAGAAGGTGGTACCCTCCCATTGTTTTAGCAAGAATTTATCCTCAGTGGTGTTTTTCACAAGAGTACAGTTTTGTCCTTTGCTTATAATGTTGTCCAGAAAGAGAAAGGAACAAGGTGGGATTAGTATGACCTTAGCAGAAACCCCTAGAGTAAAGAAGCCGGCAGTCCATATGGAGGTAGGGTGGGAAGTTCACAAGGAAAATACTTCCTTGTTGGTTAAATTTTGGGGGTCATTTGAGGGAACAGTGGGGGTATAGGAGGTGCGGTTGATATAAGTGTCACATTTAAAGGGGAAGTCTAGATTACTGGGGTGTAGCCACTTGATTTAGACCAAGGAAGTGAAACTATGCACAG